TTGCACGGACTCTTTTCCTTGTCAAACACACACAAGAGTCAATCGATTGAAGTCTCCCGCGAAAACTGCGGTCTTCACGTGATGCCTTGTGCCTTTTGGGGGCGTGGCCTCGTGGGTGGTACCGGCTGCTCGGGCTCCGCTCAGTTTATTATTGGTATTTTTTTTTTATTTATTTTACGTACTGGCACGGTTGTGTGCCGTTATATTGCCTTTTTTTCATATTGATGGGGTGACGGATCGTGGTGGGAAAGGACGTTGTGTCACTCTGATACGTCTGGGTGGCACAACAAGAGTGACCTGAACTGAAAACGAACACAAATTGATGTTTTGTTTTTTGCCTTTGACTATGACGGCTAGCTCGCTAACATGCGCGCAGAAGCATGCTATCTATTGCGCTGTCCGAAGAGCTCGCCTGCAACCTTTAAACCGGCGGCGGAGGTGATTTTCTCTCACCTCCAAGTGAAGACAGACGGACATGAGGAACTTGTAGGTGTTGTCCCGGGCCAGGAAGGACACAAAGACGTACTGGAAAGAAGAAGAAGGAGCAAAGTCAAGGCGTGAGGGAATTCGGGAACGTCGCTAATCCAGATTTTCGCCCGCCTCACTCTGTCGTTGGCTGTGGCGATCACCACGGCGTTGGGCACCAAGAGAGCCGTCTTGGTCTTCTTGACGTGGGTCACCGATATGACCGGGATGGCAATCTGGCAGGAACGAGCATCGTTTTTTTTTTTGAAACATTTTATTTCGACCAAAGTGTCAGTGAATCGCGGTAACGATAACTGCACGACGGCAGCAAAATGGAACCGAACTCGTGACCGAATGACGGCAGACTTTTTTGGACGAGAAAATCTGACAATGGTCACAGAAATGAGGACAGGAATGGAATTTGCCAGCAAAGTTGCGATGCCGCCTAGCGGGAAGCACCTTGGTGTCTTTTCCAAAGACTTTGGAGTGGAAGCAGATCCAGTGGTCGGAGACGAACATGCGGCCCTGGTACAAGATGTCCTTCTGCAGAGCGCACGTGTAACCTGAAAACAGGACGGACGGGGACGCCCCAACACCCTCCTGAGCTTGCTGCGGTGTCGCGCCGGTCGCCGCGCACGCCAAGGTGAGCTCACTTTGCTTGAGTTGCTCCTCTTTGCTGATCTCCTTGAAGAGTTTATGGTACTGGGAGTTGCCCTTGGACAGCTGGATGACGACAAACCACGCAAGG